TTGTAGCGGAGAAAGGATATTTACAGATTGATGAACATTTCGTAAAAAATGGAGTTTATATTAATTCTACATATATCTTCTCTTTTACACCAGGTGATACCCCACTGTGTCTTGCTGTAAAAAACAGACATTTAAAAGTTGTTATGATGCTGTTAGACAGAGGTGCTAACATTAATTCTATATCATGTAAGGTTGATTATTGTTGTTATCGTGGTTATGATCCAGTTGCTGATTTTCTTATACAGCATATAGTTAAGATGAAAATTGCAAACTTATACGTAAGTGAACAATTAGTAACGATTTCAATGAGTAACGATTATGAAATGAGATTATTACGGGATTCGTATGAAGTAGAAGTATTATTCATGAAGTATAAGAAAATTAGTAATTCTAACATTTCATTTTATGATATCTTGATAAAAGATACAAATCTATTAGCAATATATATGAGAAATGAAAATGTAGTGCAGGTTCTAAGATCAGAAGATTATAAAACAAAATTTCCACTATACGCTAGCATGATAAAAAGTAAGTTCAGAAGAGGTATGGAAAGAAAAGAGTTGTTCGAACAAGGCACTAAAATTTTCTATTTTTTCTGTAACTTTCCTGAGCTACCACATGAATGTATTGAACAAATATTTAGTTACCTAAGTGATAACGACGTAAGAATTTTAATAGATACTTGTAAGTCTGTTAGTATCAGTAATCTTAATACTGATATTAATGATGTAACAATTACCTCAAATACATCTAGTGCTATGTGTGTAAGTTAAGGAAGAACGAACTACTTTAAACATGAAATAACATCTATAAAAATTTAAAGATTATTACTTTATTTTATAAATACAGATTACTATCTTATTTTAAAATTATATTTTTGTAAGATTTTATCGTATTTTACTTTTTTTAAAGTTGGTTTTTACGTTTATATTCTCTTGGATATGTTTGCTTATGATGAATCCAAGGAAAACTAGGCTGTTTTATATATCTCACTTTTTCAAACTTTGTGTCAGATTTTATAACATTTGTACAACGAAAAATTTATACACATTAATCCGATAATACTCTTTCATTGAACAGAGTGTAACACGTGTAATTGCTTTTATTAATTTAAAAAATAAAATTAGATTGGAAAACTTTGAATCAATTTTTGTTTTTATCACAGATATATGTATGTATTTTCCTTATATATAGTTTTTTAAATATATTAACAATAACATACCTACAGAAAAGAAAGAACTGCGCTGTGTACGGTGTATAAACGATGCATAATCCAACTATGTTTTAAATTAAGTTATACAATGATTTATTCTATCTGTAATATTTCATCGATATCCGAATCCAAATCAGAATACTTGAATTTATTTTCACGAGGAGCAATATTATTATCTTTCAGAGTTCGCGGAGCGAGTTGTGGGAGTGCACTATCCGAAGGTTTTGGACTGATAAATTTATATACATGAGTTTCCGAGATATGAGAATTCATCGATTGATTACTCAAATTATAGTTTAAATCTTGAGAGCTTGAAGTAGATCGAAAGATGGTTTCAACTGATCCTACTGGTGGTTTCCTTGCTATACTCAGCTGGAAAAAGTTCATATGTGTGTGTGTGTGTAAACAACAATAGAACAGACCTAATATTTTTTTCACTAAGTTTCTTACGATATTTTCACACATAAAAAAACAAAATACGAGATGGCAATTTACCTGTTCCTGTATTTTCTTTGATATTTCTGTGATTTCGTCGCTTTGTGAAGTTTTTAAGACAATGTTACCCGTGCTCACAAAGTGTCACTTTTCTGCGACATCGCCTCTCCGACGGGACTCGGAGAAAGCCCTCCACTCCTCAGCGCTGTACTATTCGTGCAAGTATCAGTGCCCGTTATTATTCTGTAAATAGCAAAGTGGTGTATGGGCGTACGTTCGAACTCAAAATTACAAAAAACGCAATTGTTTGAGTGCAATTATCGTCGACATAAATCGTTGCGTAGCGCACAACGCTCTCCCCACTCTGCCCACTATTCCACCCCTATGTGCAGACCGCGGACCTTTCTCTCATTGAAGACAGTATATATTTCGAAGAAGAACAGTAGACAGTATATATATTTTTTTTTTATGGTTTTAATACAAAAAAAAAAAACACAGAAGCCAAACGTAAAAAAATAAAAAATTTTACATTTTTCTACCAGTTTAGTAGAGTCATGTTTCTCTGCATTGAATCATTTTTGCTATCAGATTATTTCTGGTATTATCACAGAAAAGAAAATATGCGCGTCAGTAGAGCAATCAGATCAAACGTTAGAACGTTATATAACACGTCGAAAAAAAAAAAAACAAGTTATATATATATATCATGTAAAAGCTAGCTCTTTAATATCTCGCGACCATCTTGAATTCTATGACGTCAGAAGCAGGAAAACTTGCCAGTTTCATGCGCGTTTTGTGAAAAATAAGAATATTTCTGTATGAACGCACGTGTACTCGGTAGAAATACTCGTAAAACGTACCGGACACGATTTTTTTTTCAACACGAAATCATAGCAATGTGTGACACGCTACGAAAACTTCATATTTTTCGATTCAAATTTGTTAATATGATTTCGCATTGAATAAAAAAAACCGTCCGGCATATATTTTACGAATGTAATCTATATTGATTCTACATGCGTTTTTTTGCACAAAAAAATATATGTTTATTTCTTTATAAATAAACAAATAGTTCCGCGCAAAATTTTGGCAATTTTTCTCGTGATTTTCTTCGTTTCCACAAAACGGAGGATCGAGAAATCTTAATTAATTATTGTTCAACGCGCGAGAGTTTATTGTCATCACTATATAGTATTCATGGTCATAAATCTTGATCATTCCCACGGCCGTTACGAGGTCCTTTCGATTGTACGCCATGAGTGATGTGTGTGTTCATATGTGTGTCTTGTATATAATTGCACAGCACGTGTTATTCACGAGCACGCCACAAGACAAGTTGGTGGCGGGATTGTTCGAATGGGCCGTTTGCAAATCACGGTAATTACGTCATAGTCCGAACAATGGAGGCCACGAGAAAATTTGACAATCCGCATCCACAAACGTCCGCAAATTCCATCAATAAATTGTTCTTTTGGTAAGTGTCAAGCGAGAGCTATTTCATAAGAGTATCTTCCGAGTGAGATTAATTGCACGCAATTGTATAAATATGTATAACATGCATATAGATATGTATTACATACTTTCAACAGATGTTCAAGAGATAAATATTCTTTGGATATTTCAATATTCAAAGTGGATATTCATGAGATATTTTTTGGATATCGATGTGCTCTGTACGGGACATACTCACATGTGTTGCTGTGACAACGATGATATGCACGTGTTTTTCAATTTTTCAAATCGCGAGTTAATAAGAAGAGATAAGATTTCGTCGATTTTTACGCGATTTTCAGAAACTTGTCACAATTTGCGAATATAAATGATACACTTCAAAGTCCGCGCACGTATTTTAACTCTTTGAATTCTGTTATTCAATTTTATATAGGATCAGTCTCATCAATTCTTGTTAACTTAACTTTAAACCACTTGATTTAAAAATATACCAACTATAAAACTATACAGCTTCTAAGATTTTAGGTTAAGATCAACTAGTTTTAAGTTGGCAATATTTAACTGATCAGTTAAGTTAACCGGAATTAGATTGGCTTTTAATGGGACAGATGATAGAGATTCTAGAGTTTGAAGCATTAAATTTGAGCAATATATAAAGATCTCATTAAAAAGACTAAAAAAGCAAGTAATGCGTTATATAAATTGCAAAAATTACTGTTATGTAATTACAATCAAATGATAACACATTTTAGATTTATCTTTAGTTTGTATTTAAAAAGTCAAATGATAAGTGTAAAATTTCTTATCTTTTATTTTTTATCTTATCTTTATATATATATGTATATGTATATATATTTGTATGACAAATTACATTCAGAAAACTCAGTTACACAACAGTCAAGAGATTACTTATAATAGGACTATTTTCTTAAAACTAATTTATACTATCTAATTATACTAAAAGTATAAAAGTATTATTGCATTTTCTGAATGTAATTGTGTATGTTAAAATGCACAATTCTCTCTTGCTATATGATTATATATTATATTTTATCAAAGTTGAATTAGCATACACAAATACATTCTTGCATAAACTTAAAATTTACTATTTTGTCACATTTGTTCAGCTGGTTAGTGGACATATTCTGGCATAAGAAAGATCACGACTTAGAATTAAAAGATGTTTATAATATTCTACCAGATGATGGCAGTGAATGGTTGGGAAATCAACTGGAGCAGTAAATACTTTTGTTATATTAAAAATTCACGAAAGCTTAATGTTAACAAATCATTAACACTTGCTATTTTTCTGAATATGTGGATATTCTTCAGACATTGGAAAAATGAGCTACATGCAGCCCAGAAAAATGGCAGACAGCCAAAATTTGTCAAAGCTTTGATAAAAGTCTTTTTTTGGGAATGTCTCTATTATGGAGGATGGATTTTCTTTGTGACTGTCATTTTAAGGTGACTAGATATTATCATGCTTAGAATAAGAAATTGTTATGTTATTCTCTGTTAAAACTGTTTCTTACTGTTAATCACTATAAATAGAGTTATACAACCATACATTCTACGTCTATTAATTTGGCACTTTGATCCAAGAGCAACATCCACTCAAATTGAAGCATATCTCTATGCAACTGGTGTGATAATTGTAGGATTATTGATATGTTTTTGTTATCATCATTCCAATTTAGCCTTGGACGAGATTGGAATGAGAGTGAAGATAGCAATTTCTTCTTTAATTTATAGAAAGGTAATTTCTAGGAAATTTAAATTTAATGTTCTGTTTCACGTTGTTTAAAAGAAATTATTTGTCTCTGCTGTTCATCGTATAAAAAGTATTATAACTTGTGTACATTTTTATTATTGCATTGTTTTAGATATTACACTTATCCAAGTCTTCAGACACCACACCAAGTAAAATTATTACATTGTTGTCAAAAGATTTGTCGCAATTTGATCGATTATTCGAAGTAGTGCATTATATCTGGATTATGCCTATACAAGTAGTTGTGGTTGCCTATTTGGGATGGGAAAATATTGGCTATCCTGTATGGATCGGCATAATTTTCTTATTGATTCAAACTATCCCTATTAATGGTACATTAAAATCGTCACAAATAACATATACGTATCCAATATATAACTGAGTTTGTATATTCTTTCGCAGTATACATAATGAAGTGGATGAAAAAAATGCGTTTGGAAATATCAAAGAGAACCGAGGAGAGAGTTCGCTTAATGTCCGAGATTGTGAGTGGCATACAAGTTATCAAAATGTATACTTGGGAGAAGCCGTTTCAGGAACTGGTTGATCGTGCAAGAAAGTTTGTATACTTGTATATTTCATTCTTGGCATTATAATTGAGAAATTTAATTTATAATAAGCACTTTATTCTTTTCAAGATATGAAATCGACATTCTTACATTAACATCTTATAAAAAAGGGATGACCATAGCCACATATATTTATACAGAGAGAACAACATTGTTTCTTACAGTTCTTACTTGTGTACTTAATGACTATTCTATATCAGCTGATAATGTATTCTCAATGGCACTGTACTTCAATATTCTTCAACTTGTTACAGCAATATACTTTCCTATAGCTTTAGAATTAATTTCTGAAACAAAAGCGTCCATAAAGAGAATTGAGGTGAGAGAATAACTACGTGTATTATAGCAGATATTTTTTTTCTTAGCAGGTATTTTTCTTCAAAATATATATCGTGTGCTCTTTTCTTTCTTCTATCTGTATAGTTATCTGCAATGACACAGGACCTCAAAGTCGGCTCATTTTGTTGTCTGTTCTTATTCTTTTTTTAATATTATTCCTACAAGTAACTTTTTATATTTTTAATATTAACATAATTTTACATAATGTAATAATTATAAAACAATAGAGCTCTCTCTTATTATTATTATTACAGGAAGTTTTATTACTGGATGAAAATGTTTCATCGGTACAAGCTTTATTGTCCACTGACAATACAAGTATTTCAATGAAAAATGTTAATGCTTCATGGGGGACAGATGTGGAAACTGTACATGCGTTACATAATATTAACTTTCAACAAAAAACCGGACAACTTTACGCTATCGTTGGTTCTGTTGGCGCGGGAAAAGTATATATATTTTTTTAGATAAAAAATTGCAATAAAATATGTAAGAGGACAAAAATTATATAAAAGTTTAGAAATGTTTGCTTAAAAACAATTTTTTTATTTTTCAGAGTTCTTTAATTCAAGCTATTTTGGGCGAATTAAAAATATCGTCTGGTCAAATTTTTACAAATGGCAAAATATCGTATGCTAGTCAAGAATCTTGGCTGTTTTCAGGCACGGTGCAAAATAATATCTTATTTGATTTGCCTTTTAATAAAACTAAGTATCAAACAGTGATAGAAGTCTGTGCTCTTAAAAAAGATTTCGAAACTCTTCCGCAACAAGATCAGACATTGGTCGGTGACAGAGGTACGGCTCTTAGCGGCGGACAACGTGCAAGAGTTAATTTAGCAAGGTAAATTTGCACTCAACAGCAAATATTTTATAAATTGCGTAATGACATTTCTTATTTACAGAGCTGTGTATAGAAACGCCGATATTTATCTTCTTGATGACCCTTTATCAGCTGTTGATACTCACGTTGCCAAACATATATTTGATAACTGCATAAGCGGATACTTGAAAAATAAAACAAGGATACTTGTGACTCATCAGTTACAGTATTTAAAACAATGCGACTATATCATACTTCTGAATAAAGTATGTAAAACACAACTAGATATTATGTAAAAAAAAAACTGCTTTTAAGATAAGATAAGATTTGTTAATTATCAAATATTTATGAGAATGCAAATAAGCAATGTGTAACATGCAATAGAATGTTAAATATTTTATTTATGCTTGTTTTAAAAAAAGGGACAAATTGAAAATCATGGTACATTCAAAACTCTTCAAGAAAAACAGGTAAACTTTTTGGAAATACTTGCGAAAAATGAAGAGACGAAAGAAACAAACGAATCACCAAAAAGGGATACAAGTCCTACAAACGATACAGGTTTCAATTTAGCATCCGACACAGCTAATGATTCTAGCGATGAAGAAGAAGTGGAACCTGAAGAAACTGAAGAATTTCTGGCTAAAGGAAGCATATCGAAGTCACTTTATTGGAAGTATATTCGTAGCGGCGCCTCAATCATTATGATCGTTGTTCTCCTGCTCTTTCTGGTTTTGGGACAAATCGGAAGCAGCGGTTGCGACTACTGGATCAGTTATTGGTAAGTTATATAAAAAACACAAATCTAACCGCCGTGCACAAAATGTAATCGTACAATATACAGGACGAGACAAAAAGAGATGTATATTAAGGATGTATGTGACCGGTACAATATTTTTACTCTCGCCGCAAACAATTTCACAACTTTTTCTTCCACACCAATATCTGTTGGACAAATAAACAATACATTAAAGACGAATGAAGAACTTGCTGAAATTTTAGAGAATTGTCAAAGTAACATATTCAACTATACTGCATTGTCACACAACTTTACTTCCGAAAACGTCGTTAGTATTTCTTATTTTTTTAAATATTATTATTAGTATCCACTTAATCTTGTATAATCTTAAAAGATTTTTTGTTTTGACTGCTTAGAACAAACTCATAGATAAAGATTTACATTATCTCGACACAAATACAATGTTGTGGGTTTACGGAGCTTTTATTAGTGCCAGCATTGTGTTCACAACACTGCGAAATCTAACATTTTACAAGATATGTATGAACGCTAGCAAAAACTTACATAATTTTATGTTCTCATCCGTACTTAAAGTCCCGATGTCATTTTTTAATAAAAATCCGTCCGGTAAGTCTATCGAGATAAAATACAAAATCGTTATTGCGTAAGACACGAAATATAAATCACGCTTTTTCAGGTCGAATTTTAAATCGTTTCTCAAAGGATATTGGCACGGTAGATGAATATTTACCTCGATGTGCACTAGAAGTTATTCAGATAGCCGTGGTAATGATAGGGATTATGCTGCAAGTACTTATTATCAATCATTGGGTCATAATTCCTATACTCATCGTGAGTGTTTTATACAACGTAATAAGAACAATTTATACTCCAAAAGCAGAAAATCTAAAACGATTGGAAGGAAACGGTAAAAGTTTTTCACATGTAATTTATATTATTTATATTTTTTTTTTATCTATTATTTCTTCGCGTGTTCTTCAACTTTGATACTTATTTAAATCTACAGCAAAAAGTCCCGTCTTCTCGCATATTAATTCAACATGGTCCGGTCTAGCAACAATACGATCTGCTGATGTTCAAGAGATAGTTCGCAAACAATTTGACGAACATCAGGATTTGCATACTCGTACTTGCTCACTAATTATCTCAACCAAGCACGCGTTTGGTTGTGCGCTCGATATAGTAACTCTTATTTTCGTTGCCTTTGTCACGCTTAGTTTTGTTGCACTGGATGACGGTAAATCATCTTCGTTTACAATTACTCTAATTAATACATATACTTAGTGAAAAAGAAATAAATATTGACTTCGATTCTTTTTTTCAGGAAACACTTTTGCCGGAAATGTTGGCTTAGCTGTTTCTCAGATACTTATTTTATGCGGTATGGTGCAACATGGAATGATACAAATGGCTGAGGTAATGACACAAATGACAAGTGTAGAGAGAATAATGCAATATACCGAGTTAGAAAAAGAAGGCCCATTCGAAAGCAACAGTATTGATAAACCGTTGAGCGATTGGCCTTCCAAAGGAGAAATTCGATTTGATCAAGTTTCTCTTCGATATTCCAATTCGGAACCGCCCGTTCTCAAATCTCTGAGTTTCGTTATAGAACCTGGAATGAAGGTAGTTACAAATTGCCATTATAATATTCAATATCATATTAATTGTAAAACAATCAAAAAGAAGTCCTTGTCCGTTGAAATAGTTCCAAATCTAATTGTTTTAATTAGTTCATTCACGATTTATTCTAAACGTTAAATAATTTTTCAGATTGGAATAGTGGGTCGCACTGGTGCTGGAAAATCGTCTTTGATCTCCGCCTTGTTCCGCATGACACACTTTGACGGAACAATTTATATTGACAATCTAAGCACAAAAAAGATTGGCCTTCACGATTTGAGAAAAAAGATCTCCATAATACCGCAGGAACCGGTACTGTTTTCTGGTACACTTCGGGAAAATCTCGATCCCTTTTGTAAGTTTAATGACAACGATCTGTGGACCGTCCTGGAAGAAGTCGAATTGAAGAATGCGGTAACCGATCTGAGTCATCAAGTGGTACAGGGCGGTTCTAATTTCAGCGTCGGACAACGACAGTTAATTTGTCTGGCACGCGCAAGTTTGCAGAACAATAAGATTCTTGTGTTGGACGAAGCCACTGCTAACGTGGATCTTACAACAGACGCGCTCATACAAGCTACAATTCGAAAGAAATTCCAAGCATGCACAGTACTTACAATAGCGCATAGATTGAATACGATAATGGATAGCGATAAGGTGTTGATAATGCATCAAGGTCAAGTACTTGAGTTCAATCATCCTTATATTCTATTGCAAAACGAACAAAGTTACTTTAGTAGCATGGTAAAAGAAACCGGACAAGTTATGTCTGAACAGCTTAAGCAACATGCCAAAGAGGTAAATTAATTTCTACTATTATATATTGTCAAATTTAAGTATTTCTATATGTGTGACATATATTTCATTTTTAGGCCTATGAACAAAAGCACAAGTTCATGTGAGATTTTTTACTCAAGTATCAGTGATATATGATGATTATATTAATTAATATCAATGCCACAACTTGCCAACAATATTAGACACTTTTCTACTTATTACAAAGAATTTTTTAATAATGAAGATTTAAGTAATTTTAGATCTCACTTTCATTATATATAAACTGTATACTCTTATTTTTTTACATATGTATATTGTGCAACAATGTCTTATTAAGTGCTCATATTAATCTTGTTGTACCTAATGAATGTATGTTTGGTATAATGTTTTTTAACGTGATATTACCGTAAGATACTCAAAGAAAGTTATAATCGAACAATAACAATACTTGTGATTTTATAAAAGAAGATATTACATCATGAAAATAAATTGGGAGACGATCAAATGTTTTTTTTTTCTTAAATTCTTATTGTAATTGTTATATATATCACATAAATAAAAAAATATATATTGTTTAACAATTATTTAAATTATACATTCTCTCTCTTACCCTTTCCACTTTGTGTTTCTTTCTTCTGAAAATATCAAATCAATTGTACTACACCAGTTTTTACTAAATCCGCTACAGCACTGTACTGAATAATATGCTGCGAACCTTCCTCAAAGTCTATCTCCTCATTTTGTGTACCGGGTAGAACTATGCCTGTGACTTTTTGATTAGCACGCAGAAATACATAAGCTTGCATGTTAGGTTTAATAGTCAACTTGTCCACCTCAAAACGTTGAACACTAGGTGGAAAATGTTGCAGTGCTAACGTTGTGAAGAGCGTTTCCATATTGGCGAGGTATTCCTTGGCAAAACGCAATTCACTTGGCGTTAAGTATGCTTCTTCTGGATTCCTGTTAGCTTCCTCCGACAGGATGTGAACGGTATACTGTTCTATCTTTTCTAGACGTGTTCGCAGATAGCTACTGATTATGTACTTTATCCGATCGAGCTCCATACGGTGAACTTGCACTCGCAAATCATTCTTGTCTAACCTCTTGATATTCTCCTCCATGTGCGTGATTTGCTGCAACATACAGTCCACGAGGTCAAACTGATGCGGCAGAATTTCTGGGGCGAATCTCTCGTTCATCCAAGCATTTTCGATCTCTTGCAACGCCGACTGAGCTGTCAATTCTCCAACGCCGTCTCCGTCATCCACCAAATCCTCGAGATTCTCTTCTACGACTATACGTTATGATGACGGTTAAAAATTAAACGTTTCAGAAGAAACGTAAGATTTTCTTCAAAAAATTGTATGTACCTGACATGTTGATCTTCTTTGAAAGTGTTTGTGTTGTTATAAATCATTACACACAGTTGTAACTATTACATATTTATCACATCCGACAATGTCAACTACAACCGCCCAAATTCAAGAGCCATTTTGAATCGCTTTAAATTTCCCTCAAGACGAAACACATGTTCATCTCGACATATTCATTTTGCGTATCGATATTTACTATCGATTTTATTTGAATTTGTGAACGATGCTTTTTCCGTGCTTTAGATTATATATGCGAATCGACTAATTGTGATTTGGAGATCAAAGAATTGTCAAATTCTTACGCCGAATAAAAGATTAAATATTAGAATAATTATACTGTGCAAAAAAAAAAAAAAAACAATAACATACATATAAATATCTAAATTTAATTTTAAAAAGTAATATATTTTTTATGTAATAAACTAATGTTGCTTTATTTTTTTTTTGAAAAATATGTTATACTATAATAATATAATGTGTATGATTAAACAAAACATAATTAATACAGTATCTTATATTTTGTTAAAACACTAAAACAGAGAAATTTCTTTTAAAGCATTTAACTTTACAATAATTTCTATAAGCAACTGATTAGTAGTCTCTCAACAGTACGCCAAACATCTTCGGCAGTTCTCGGCGTTCTATTTTTGTTGTACCTACGTAAGGTTTCTGTGTACTATACTCAAGGTACTCTCAAGGTATTCCCAAATCCCATGTAATTTAATAGAGGACTTCTTAAGACTGTTTGGCGACTTAGAAAGACGTTGTCTATAACGAGGAAGACGTAGGATCAATGGATATTTAAACGCGACTCACCGTTGCGGCCAACCCCGAGCCACATCCGACAGTGGTCCGAACAGAGAACTCTTCCTGCTTCACGGAAAGACCCACGACGGCAATAGCAATTCAGCGGTGTATTTGGATTAATTCATCCGCCACGATTTTCTCCAAATAGCAACGCAAAGCAGGTAGGCGATGTGGAAAAAGCTACGTCTACTTCGTATATCTTGCGATAGTTATCTACATTTATACATAAAAATATGAGAATTAAAATAAAATATGTGAAAAAAAATCTCTTTTATACATTAAATATATAATTCTCGTTGTTTCATTTCACATTGTAATATTTTTAAATAATTAATGAATATAACAGCGCGGAAAACATTTTTCATTTTATCATCGGAATAAATGAGTAAAGTGTTAAAACATTCTATTTCTTGTGTAAAAAGAAATTCTCTTATAGAACCAACCATGTCTTTCGCATCTGGACCGAGCCATGCAGCCTACCAATGGGCGGCACAAGGGAGTGGATTTGGTAATCAGACGGTGGCAGACAAAGTACCACCGGATATGCTCCACCTGATTGATCCTCACTGGTATCAATTCCCACCAATGAATCCTTTGTGGCACGCGCTTCTCGGCTTTGTCATCGGCGTTCTCGGTGTAATATCTTTCATCGGTAACGGCATGGTTGTTTACATATTCACCAGCACCAAGAGTCTCCGCACCCCGAGCAACTTGCTCGTCATCAATCTTGCTCTCTCTGATTTCTGCATGATGCTGTGCCTGTCACCGCCTATGGTGTGTATGAAAAGTTCTAAAGGAAGAAAACACATTCGACGCGATAGATAGACAGCGATATCTGTATATATTTTACTGAATGATGTGTGCAGGTGATCAGTTGCTATTACGAAACGTGGGTGCTAGGACCCTTGTTCTGTGAATTGTACGCTTTCGCGGGTTCCCTGTTCGGATGTGGCTCCATTTGGACGATGACGATGATCGCATTCGACAGGTACAATGTAATCGTCAAAGGATTGTCGGCTAAACCAATGACCATAAATAGCGCGCTTCTTCGCATATTCGGCATCTGGCTATTCTCGTTGGGTTGGACACTCCCTCCGATGTTTGGATGGAATCGGTAAAACATGAATTTCTTCTGCAAAAAAAAAAAAACAAATTTATTCAAATACAAATATATTATATATACATATTTTAATACAAAAAACTTTCTCATTTTTTACAGTTACGTGCCGGAGGGCAACATGACCGCATGCGGTACCGACTACTTGAACAAAGATTGGTTCTCTAGATCGTACATTTTAGTCTACAGCTTCTTTTGCTACTTCCTGCCGTTGTTCCTCATCATCTACAGCTACTTCTTTATCATCAAGGCTGTCGCAGCCCACGAAAAGAACATGCGGGAGCAAGCGAAGAAGATGAATGTCGCTTCTCTACGATCAGCCGAGAATCAGAGCACTAGCGCCGAATGTAAACTGGCGAAGGCAAGATTCCTACATAAGAAATTTCGACCTAATAAATTTAGATTTATACAACGATCCTAACTTTACTATAAATTACAGGTAGCTTTGATGACCATCTCTCTGTGGTTCATGGCGTGGACTCCGTATCTGGTCATCAATTATTCGGGCATCTTTGAAACAGTTAAGATCAGCCCTCTCTTCACGATCTGGGGCTCTGTCTTCGCGAAAGCGAATGCTGTATACAATCCCATCGTGTACGGCATCAGGTCGGTTGATAAGTTTTTTTTTTTTTAACAAACATACATATAAACCACAGTTTTTACAAACAGAATAATAAATCTAATTATTTCATGATATGTGTGTAATATTAATCTTTCCTTTTTTTTTTGTTTTTAGCCATCCCAAATATCGAGCTGTTCTCTTCCAAAAGTTCCCATCTCTAGCGTGTGCTTCCGAGCCGGCGCATGGCGCGGACACGCAATCCACAACTACCACAGTTGCAGATAGTGAAAAATCTGCTGCATAAAATAACGACGCTACATACATCGATTTTTGGACAACACAAACAAAAACTTCGCAACGCTATGAAAATAGCATTATATTCTCGTCACACAAAGGAAATCGCGCGTCATCAAATATGCGTTGTAAATAAATGCGATAAATAAACGCGTGCAAGAAACACATCAGTACACGTGATATGTAACGAGAATATTGTTTGACCGTGATAGTAAATTATTAAAAAACATGTCGCAATTAAACTGTGTGTGTGTGTGTGCATGTGTGTGGACCAAGCAAGCACTCATTTGAACAGAGCCAATATGCGAAGAATTTCCAATATTGTAAAAGTAAAACAGTTTAGTTTGTAACTCATTCTATGGTTCGGCCGCACCATAAAGCAAATTTTTCAAAAACTTCATAGCGCAGTTTATAAAATTTTTTTTTTATCGTCTCTCAATGCAACAAAATACATTTTACTATTTTGGAATTAACAAGCATTGGCTGTACAATATTGCTGAAAAAGTTACATCGCTAACAAAAGATATGATAAATTAATATACATACATATGTCTGTAATTACTATTTTATAGAACTAAATATAAATTCTCTGCAGGCAAAAATATATAAGGGAGTTTTAATTGAACCATGACAAAATTCGGTGAATATGAATCTCTGTATTATTATCATTTAACACATTTTTTTGTTATATTACATACATATATACTTTAAGATCAATTTTTCTAAACTCAAATAAGTCAAAATAATTTTTTTTTTTTGCTTTTTTTGAATAACATTCTTCTGGATATATATTAGTGCACTCTATCACTCATTTTTGCAAAGGTAATATTTAACACTTACAGTAACAAGAAAAACAGAAGAGCAAACATAAAAACTGAAAGAATGACGTATAAAGTAAGACTTTTAGTTTCCTCAAAATTCCGTGTACGTAGCTGTTACACAATTGGCTATCTACAACAGCTATTGAAGCTTTACAGATTACAAATTTTCATGTTATTTGGAAATTTATTACATGATGCACTGATTCGTTCACGTATATTCCGAATATATTCGTTCTAACTGAATTATATCACAATGTTTCAAATTTATAATTTATAATGAGAAAAACTACGCTGCTGTCGAAATAGAAGTTGTTTCCGCTACGGCTTTTGCAGCAGGCTTTTCAGTGGAACCACATACAAGGCAGGGTAGCTTCTCTTTTAGCGCTGCTCTGTATTTCGGATGACTGTGACATGTGAAAAAAATGAATAAAAAGAATAAAAGTATTAATATATACATACACATATATACAATATGTAAAAACTTACCTAATTCCATAAACAATTGGATTATATATAGCATTTGCTTTTGCAAAGAGAGATCCCCAAATGGTAAAAAGAGGACTGATAGTAGCAATACCGAAAACACCAGTATAATTGATGACCAAGTACGGTGTCCATGCCATGAACCACAAAGAAATGGTCATCAAGGCTACCTATAACCAAAAAAATCATAGAAATGAATACGCAAGCATTATTAGTTTATTTTCTTTTCTGCATTTTAACAGAATAATTAGTGTAACTTTTTTTCTCTCACCTTCGCCAGCTTTGCTTCTGCGCTCACATTTTGATTGTCTCCCGATCTTAAAGATTGGACATTCATTTTCTTTGCCTGTTCCCTCATTGCTTTCTCATGCGTAGCTACTGCCTGTTTTTAAAAATGTGGTTTTAAAACTCCATTTTTTTTAGATCGAACGCAATGTTTCTTTTAACATCTTTCTGTAACACACACACACTTACCGACACGATAAAGTAATAGCTGTAAATGATAGTGAAAAGTGGAATATAATATACAAACACTGAGTACACTAAGATGTACGACTTGGAACTCCACTCTTTAGTGAGATAATCCGTACCACAGGCGGTCATATTGCCTTCAGGTACATATCTATAATTATCATATCATAAAGTTGAGACTACAATTTAAAATGTGCGATTCATGTATTTTTTATCACATTTAATTTTAGTCTGTTACCTGTTCCATCCCACCATTGGAAAAATTGTCCATAACAAGGCAAACAGCCAGATTATTAAAATTTCAAGTAGAGCTTTTTTAATAGTGAGTGGGTTGCCAGCCATACCCTAAAAATATACTTAATTTCTATTCTTATATTTAACATATCGCTATATAAAAACGAAAAAAAATTAGATATATACCTTTACTATAACATTATATCGATCTGAAGCAATAGCAGTCATGGTCCAAATTGAGGCACATCCACATAGAGAACCAACCATGGCGTATACATCGCACATCAACGGTCCTTAATAAAACAGAAATGTATATAAAATAAATTTATTAATTTATATATTTTAATATAAATAAAACATTTGTCAACTAACTACACACACATATGTTAAACTTAAAAAAGAACGCATTACAATATGTAGCATATATTTTATATAAATTTTAGAATTGTTCTTTAATTACACGTTAAAAATATATTTTGCATGTACATCTAGCATATGGCTTTCAAAGTCCTATTTTTTAGTTTATAGAACCGTATATTTCGTTGTATATACATTAAGATTTTTTTGTATTACCTAACACCCAGGTCTCGTAGTAGCAGTTTATTACCATAGGAGGTGACTGAATCATCATCATGATGAAGTCCGAGAAAGCCAGATTTATTACTAATAGATTGCTTGGTGTTCTTAGGGAAGGTGTCATCAGAAAAATATACACTACAACACCATTGCCAGTCCATCCCATAAATCCTAACACAATCATTACAAGGCCAAGAATTTTGTGCCACAATGGATCCATTGGTGGAAACTGATACCTGCAATTTAAAGATTTCATGTCTCCAATGATGTTCTAAAAAAGGACACAAGAATATTAATTAACAAGATTAAAAATAACCAATGTGGATCGACTAAATGCAGCATGTCTGGAGGTACTTTATTTACTACAGTTTGATTAGTAAAACTCATGATCTGTCGCATAGCTTGAGGTTCTTTAATTGTTGTTAACACATCAAGTACCAAGGTGGAATGTCCGGGTAAAACGATCGAAGTTAAATTTTCGATACCTAATGTAATGAGAGACTCCATTTTCTGCAAGAGATTAAAGGGTAACTGATAATAATTTTATAATGTGCAAACAGGTATAAATTATAATTTATTATAAATTTAAAAGTGACAAAATTAAGAGTAATTACTACGTACTTTTTAACGTTTAAATTGTTTGAAGTATAATTGCTTCTGCTGGATTCTGAGTTTAAGGTAATAGAAATCTTCAATTTGTAAAACATCAATACTCTGTTGTACGGAATATCCTGTAATGGTACTGTATCACGCCAATGGACAGTACAAGCGCGAGAAGAGCAATCTCCTTTTATATATCTTCATGAAGATATCCAATAAAATTATCCAATTACATATGCAGATAGAAACCTACAAATCTGACGACTGTCTTAGTATTGAATATGCCTTTCACGCACATAACACATGTGATTACTGTCAGTTAGTATTTAAGATCATCTGACAAAAATGAGACTTTACAGATGCTAATATAAAGAAATGTGATTTAAATTACCAGATTAAATTTATCCAGCAGTTCTTACAAACTATATCTCTATTTAATCTTTGACATCTGTGTGTTTTTATATTATAGTATTTATTGCATCAAATATACAAGTACAAATCATTTTACTGTCTCATTTTACTGCTCTTGAAATCCTTCGAGTATGTTGACTGCGACTTTCCTGCAAAGCTTCTTCCAACTGTTGAGTTATATGAAGTAAATTTGTAGGATCTGTTTGTAGTAAAACGTGATCAATTTCATCTGGATTGTTAGCATTTTTCAGAGATAAATCTAGAGTGACAAGTGGAGCAACTTGTTTCAAAAGAGATTTTGATGCAGTCTACAACACATAATATAATTCAATTATAGATTTAGAGATATTTGAAGACAGAGAGAGAAAAAGAGAGAGAGATAGATAGAGAGACAGTAAAAAAGTCAAATTCTTTATATCACCTGTACTTCAAATCTCCATTCCATGTCGTGATATTGTGGCTGCTTAAATCCCATATCTTTAAGAGCATTTGAAACTTCATCTTTCTTAATACTATACAACTTACTCAGTATTGCTTCTTTTTCTTCCGTAAAACCTAAAGCAACCACAGAATCTCGGAAATCTTCTGGATTTAACTGTAAAATCCAAAAGTAAACAAAAAGTAAGTAAACAAAATGTGTCATATTATTTAACTTTTCTTTTATATGATCGATTACCAATATTTTACCTTATGTTTACAACTTTCTAGCAAAAGATTAACCAAACCTTCCACTGAATTTTTAATTACATCTAATTCAACATTTAACTTTTCTGAAATAGATAATAAAATATTTGTGTAATCAAAGAAAAGTATAAATATTGTCTGTCAACTGATCAGAGTTGGCAATTAATTACTTACGAGCAGCAGCGTTGTATACTTTAACATTTGGCCCTTTTTGTAGATAATCTAACGCCAATTTGCAGAAATCTTGCAGAACTGCGAGACAAAAATACAATATTTTCAATTTTTTAATTAAATATACGTTGAATAAAATATTACTACACAAAGTTTAATTCGTACCTGTCGGCGATTGTTCGGTTAGAAACAATATATGTTTCTTATGGTCTGGTTTCAAAGTTAATAGCATTGTTGTTGACAAGTGTTAATTACACAAAAATTCTTTGAAATATAATAAACTAAACATAAAAAAAAATGGCTAATTGTGTACAATAACTATTTGATTAATTTCAAGACGGCATATTAGTAAGTATACACGTGAAAAATAAATATCAAGTTAGGAATTATTAAACGAATATCTAAAATATAATTGTTTACTTTGAATGAATTTTAATTCTGCACAAGTACTTTAGAAAAAAATATTTACACATAGACATGTATATATAATTAAAAACTGTGTGATACGTGATATACAAAAATCTACATGTTGCATTGACAGACCGATGCAACATGCGCACGCGCCGAAATAACTCTGCTTATCTCATCCCATCGTGATCCCATCCCATGTTGTTCGAAACTTCCAAGGCTGCGTTAGAGTCCCTATAGTATGAGTCTGGACACAATTAGGAATTTGACAAAACATGGTGTCGGAAATAAAAATAAAATTTATAATAGTAAAATTATGACACAACATGGCTGTTATAAAATAAGTAAAAAAGTAATGTTAAATAATATTTTAAATATTTTTATTTTTATTAAACATTATTTTACTATTAATAATATATATATTTTTATGTGTTTATTGTGTGCATATACTTGTATTTCATTGTATTTTTATATGTGAAATAAAACGTATAATAACAAATTTTTTTTTATATTGTCTTATATTCTATTCTTATAGCCTGAGCACAATAGAGAAAATATTAGGAATAAGAATTAGAAATAAAAGTTAAATGTACTATACAATGACAAAAACTAAAATATAACATAAAAATACAGGAAGTATGTCACGGTTGCATGATATACAGCCTATATTTATATACATTTATATGTTATATTTTATTTTTTTGCATTGTGCATTACATTTAACTTCTGTTTTTAATTTCTATTCCTAATAATTTTTCTATTCAGCTCAACCCTTATATTGAATAATACCGCACGTGAAGTATAAATTTAAGATATCTTATTGATATCGCCATATTTTGTCACAACCAATAAGATTTATATAATGGTCATTTATATAAATAAATGAGAAATATACACAGCTTAGTTGAGGACTTTTTTATGCAAACGCATACACATAATTTATGTATATAAGCACTCATAAGTAGATTTTTATATGAAATATTATAACAATTGTATGTCCATGGTATTATGATTTTGATTGATTTATAGAAGCCTTGATTTGGGTCTGCTGAAATGCTTGTTCCAGTTTATTGAGTGCATCTTTTTGCGTTTCCATTTTCTTCTCATAACTAGCTAATGTATCGTCCACACGTTTCCTGAAAGTTTTTTTTTATCTATAAATCTGAAGTCAACATCAACATACTTAAATTTTAATCGTGCAAACATACAGTTCAGCTTTAATATAATCCATGCGCTTAGAGACATTCTGCTTAGCTTCAGACAGATCTTGTTTTACAAGCACAGGTCCTATTAACTTAAACACATCATTTTCATCCTTTAAGAGATCTAATTCACTCTTTACCATCATGTTCTCATTCAATTGCCCATCTAGCTGTTGCCTTTGGTTAAGCATTTTGCTATACTCTAGAAAAAAATGTGAATAATACATTAAAATATAATAATAAAATATAAACCGGCATATAAAAAAATCTACTGTTAATTCAGAAATTGGGTATTCTTCTACCTTTATGAGTTTGTCTTAATTTATCAACTTCAGACTGTAACTTTTTTTGCATTTCTTCCAGCATGATTATCCAACAGATGTAAATTCTTTCTTACTAAACAAAGAGACTATTGTATATATAATCTTATAGATATTTCACTCAATTTTTTAGCAGTATAAGTTACACCACTTTATAAAAGACAAACATAACCTCTTAAGTTGTCAATATGTAAGACAAGCCATGTTTCTATGCAGTGTAAAGGCCATCGCACATAAAATTACTTAAGGCCGTAAAACGTAGCCGTAAGAAAATTGACCAATAAGAAATTTACGTCCGAAAGTGATGGCGACATAGTATACATTTCTGATTGGTCAATTTTCTTAAGCCTACGTCTTACGGTCTTAAGTAATTTTATGTGTGATGGCCTTAAGAGCCGTCTACAATGGAGAGTTGTAGGCCGTAACAGTAAGAAATTGACAAATCACAATCGATTATTCTTCTGTACTTAATCTGTGATTGGTCAATTTCTTACTATTACGGCCTACAACTCTCCATTGTAGACGGCTCTTTAAAGAGCCGTCTACAAACGGCTCTTAAACGGTAAC